GCCCCGTCCTTGGACTGTGCACTCCCTCATCCACTGTATCCATAGTGGGAGCTGTTCCAAAGACGCAGCCTTGCGATTAAGGTGCTGCAGACGCTGTCTGTATTGTGTATATTACTGAACCCCATTAAGGACTCTCTGAAAACCTTTAAGATTCTGGAGAGTGGGTGGGGAGACCTACTCATCTTTCAGTGCCAAAGATAAGCCTTGAATATAAGTCCCCTTGCTTACGAAACCTGCCACCTAGGGATCTAGAGTGGCCCGCCTCCTCCTTTTTCCCTTTCCCCTTGCCCTCTGTCTGCAGAGGGGACCAAGTTTCAGATTTAACACAGGGAACGCCCAAGGTTGCAAAACAGCACAAGGCAATGTTTACGTGTTGTCTATCATCACCTCAATTAAATTTCACAACAGCCCCAGGAGATAGGCCTGACTATCTCTACACCAGAAATAAAGAAACCAAAACCCAGGAAAGTGAGCAAATTACTCCAGGTCACACAGCCAGGTTAGAGCAGATTGGATTAAACCCGGGTCTGACTCCAAAGACCAGCACACTCTTGCAGCCGAATAAAGACGGGCTGTGATACCACACCTCACACCTGTCAGCACAGCTATTATCAAAGAAAAAAAAAAAGACAAAAACAGAAACCAAATCGAAACCAAGAGAAACAGTGTTGGTAAGGATAGGGAGAAACTCAAAGCCCTGCATGGTGTGGGTGGAAATGCAAAATGCTGGAAACGCTGGAATGGCGGAAACAATGGAAAACAATATGGAGGTTCCTCAAAAATTAAAAATAGAGCTACCACATGATGCAGTCATCTCACCTTTGAATACGTATCCAAAGAACTGAAATTGGGATCTGAGCGATATTAGCACTCCAGGTTCAATGGAATACTGTTTGTAATAGCCAAGATGTATGGACGAGCTCCTTGTCCATCGACAGATGAATGGAGAAAGAACATGGAATACTGATCAGCCTCTCAAAAGAGGGACTAGAGAGCCTTCAGTCAATAGGCTAAGACCACCAGTCAGCCCCTTGCATTCCAAAGTACTTGTTGCTGGGTTCTTGTGCCCCACCTCCCAGCCTTGCCTGCCCCCACGTCCCCAGGGGCCAGCCCACTTCCGAATGCAAACAGGGGGTATTTCCTGTGACCAAGTTCCCTTGGTCCTTTAACAGGTGAGTGAGTGGTCAGACCCAGCTGGCCGCCGCAAGGTGGTGAGGGCAGCAGGAGTCTTGTGCACAGTATCCAACCAGCAACAGTGCCAAGAGGAAGCCAGCATCTCTCTACAGACAGGCTAGGGAAGGGGAGTCCTGGGACAAAGTCAGAACACAACAGTGGTTTGTGCTTTTAAGGAGACCCCTATTCAGATTCAACCAATGACTATTCCATGTCTGGTGTTGGGCTCATTTCATTCACAGGTTTTAAGCCTGAACATCGCCCTGTGACAGGGCCCTGTAATCATCCCAACCTCCAGGCCACACAAAATTGCAGAGGCCTCAGGGGGTCCAGATGCAAGTTCCAAGTCCAACACGTTCTCCACAACAGCAGGATCCTTTTCAAGCTCAGGAAGCAGAGAAGGGAGCAGCCTCACTGAGGTCAAAGCATGGTTTCCCACTCTGTCCTCTCCTCCCCTTAGTCCATTTTAAGACTTCTGCAAGCTATTCTGTTCACTAAAATCCCTCTTGTGGCTTTGGTGATTGTGGTGATAAGATAAAGCCATAGCAAGCAAAGTCCTGGGGAGCCTTCCGCTCACCCAGTCAGTGCATGCTTGCCTGCTAACCACCACAGACCCCGCAGCCTGCTGGAAACAGAACGCCAAAGAATACCATGGCCCTATCCCCAAGTAGCTCTCGGTTCGATGGCAGAGACCAGTAAGCAGATCAATTTAGTGTAAGGCGCAAAATCCTACAGATGGGAATGTTGCAGAGGAGGGCGATTCTAGCTCAACTTTGGGTGGGAGCGGTGGTGGGGGGGGGGGTAGCAAAACGCTTTCCAGAAGAAGCCACGTCAGAGCTGGGTCAAGGTGAAAATGAGTAGCCAGGAAAAAATAAGGATGAGCATTTAAGGCAAAGAGAGCATGGTTAGGTAGGGTGGGGGTCTTTGGTCTCCACATTTGCTGTAGTCTACCTTCAAGACAGGAATGGGGCGGGCAGGAGGTGGGGATCGCATCTCATGGGCCTGATTCATTAAAAGAATAAAAGCATGCACTAGACTGTGAACCCACAGCCAGCCCAATTTCCTGGCCCCCTTATGCTATTAGCTACAGCCCAGAACAGGATAATGGATGCTTCGAAGCACGAATTACAGTGCCTCACAAAATCCTGAATCATCAATGAAAAGTTCAATTTGTTCACTTGACTGCACTTGAGGACGGATGTACAGTACATCCACTAACTAGGTAGGCTTCAGTTTCAGGAGTTCACACCAAGCCCAACAAGGTTTCCTATATAATTCCCAATGAATCAGAAGCTGCAATCCCACCACCGCCTGAGCCCACTCCGCGTGTCCCAAACACTGTGCTTCCCTGGATGCTGACTAGTCCCTGTTTTGTTTCCAAATCCCATTTCTAGCCATTGCCAGCTGTGAGCTAGCACGTAGAGGCAGAGGTATTCTTATGAGCCCTGTGTTATCAGGGAGGTGAGGGGCACCCAATGATGCCCAGTGAAATACCAGAGCCCTGCAATTGTTGGCAGAGGGTCAGAACTGGGATCCAGCTCAGAAACACAGTTGAGGTCCCTCAATGTGAAACTCACTGAGGTCAAAGCATGGTCTGCAAGCAACATTGCATTCAGATGTTAGCAGCCAAAAGAGCCGCTGTGTGATCTTGGACAAAGGGTTTCACTGAAGTTTTCTTACTCTCATCTCTAAAACGTAGACAGTAATTCCCACCTCATGAGATCCTGGAGAGAGTTCGATGAAATAAATGATTTGCATGTCTGAAAGCATCTGGCTAGGTCTTCACCTCTTCCTTATGCCACACTCTCAGATTTTCATGGTCCTCTCTGGGAAACAAGGCTACAGGTTTGGGCATTCTCAAATCTGCTTCTGCATGATGGAATAATCCGAAAGAAGGATAAAATCAAGACTCTGTCAGTAACAGGGCTTAGCTATCCCTCCCCCAGGTTGGGCAAGGCAACAGCAAGGGGTGCTGGCTAGGAATGGTGGGAAGTAAACAAAGAGGGACCCCGCAAGCTACAGTGGAACCCCAGGTTTGGAAGTCAGCCAATAAATAGTGAATGCCATTTACACGCAAAAAGACATATTGATTCTCTGTATGTTTGTGTGCACTCAAATCCGTACTTTTTTTTTTTACTATAGCAATCCAGTATCAATTTAACTAGTCATTTAATTTAACTGAACCCCCTTGGGTTCATTTGAACTAAACACAGTGCTAGAAACAGAGAAGAATATAATTTTCGTCCATTTTTACCCCCCAAAGAAAGCAAATGGAAGAGTAACCCTTGCTAGCCCTTCTCTCCAGCCACTAACACCTGCAAATGCAGGCAGAGGTGGATGCCAGACGCTGGACCATCCCAAATCCACGTTCTTGGCTGGATGCCCCCCTCTCTGCTGCCAGTTCCTCAGTTTCAGGGAGGCATCCTCTCCAAGCTTCTATAACCTCACAGGGAAACCTGTTGCCAAGTCGGAGGTCCTGTGCAGACGCCCCCACCTGGTGGCCAAATCTGGAAAAGCCACTGCAACCAAAGATGATTGGCAGGTAGCAGCTCCAAGGCTCCCTGAACTCTCCGGGACCGCAACAGTCATGGGTCAGTCGGAGGAGGACACAGAGGAATATTCACGACTAAAGGCACAGAAAGGGTCAAAGTTATGGCCAATTCCCCGCCAAAACCCTGGTAACGTAGGGCTTCCCAAGAAGCAGCCATCAGAATGACTAAGCCACAGACAGGAAGCTCAGGGTAACTGGAAATGCCCTGCCAGCCCTGGGGTGTCTGGTGACATCTCTGATTTTCTCTCTTGGGTGAGGAATCACCACTACCATCCTCTCCCCTCTCCCCCAAGTGCAAGAAGATTTCCTGTCCCGAGTGTCAGTGCAGAAGATAGTTCCATCTTCCTTCCCCGGCAACACATTTTCATCCTGACTAGCAAGGAGACGCTTTCTAGCGAAGGGTGCCTGGGGTCAAACCTCCAGTCAGGCCCCATCATATGGCCCGCACCCTCGTCCAGCCAAAGTGAGAGAAGGGGCAGCAGCTGGCCTTGAGGGGATATCAGGACCAAATCGTGGAGATGCCTCAGCCAAAATAACCCCAGCCCTCATCTCCTGGCACTGTTAAGCCTCAGCTTCTCTGTCTAGGCTGCAGCCTGAGAGATTCTCCTTCGCTTATATTCTCTCTCCTGCTCATTAACTCCCATAAAAATAACCCAAAGACACTCATTTTGACCAGTCCAAGCCCCCAGCTAGAGCAACACCAGGTTGTATACCAGGATGGAGCCCTAAGGAGTAGCACAAGCAAGCGATTGATACCCGCGTTCATGCGCGCGCTCGTGCACACACACACACACACACACACACACACCCCACTGTGGGCAGTGTACCACTCCCATCCCTAACTCTGGGATGCATCATCTAAACTCAGTAGCGATCCCAGAAGAAGGGACCCACCCCAAGCAGAAACACAGAGCGTATGGAAGGGATCCGCTTCATCCTGTTCATCCTCCACGTTAATTGGAAAAGAAACATCATTCTTTTAAGCTTCGATACCAACATCCGGAGAAGGTGTCATAAATGCGCACCCGCGCGCACACAAACACGCCAATCCCATCTCCAAATTAGCTGGGGAACCACGCTTGGATCCTCTAAGCCGTGGTGCCCAACACCTGGAGAGTGGCTCACAGACACACGGACACACACGGCGGAGAAACACGAATGATAGACTGCTCTCCTCAGCCGACGGGCGTCCCTGGGCTTTAAGGCCCCGCAGCCGTCCTGGCTGGAGCCCCCACCCCGAGCCCCAGCCCCCGCCGCCGAGCGGCTGGGTACTCACACGAGCGCGTGGTAGAGCAGCGCCCAGCCCCGCGGTCTCTCGAGGGCGTCGTAGATCAAAGTTTGGATGCGCCGGTACTTGGCGTTGTTCCTCTTGACAGGGCGGCTCAGGGGGGTCTTGGCCAGGAGCCCGATGCCCTGCGGGGTCCTCCGCAGACCCTCGTCGCGGCCGCCGCCCTCCAGCAGCAGGGTCCCGTCTTTGTCAGCTCCGGCCCCGAGCGCCAAGGTGACTTGCTCCACGTCGCCGGGCGCCAGCCCCACTTTCCGCTCCTCATCGCCGGCCGCCGCCGCGTCCCCTCCGGCGGGGTTAGCGGCCCCGCCGCCGCCGCCCCCGTCGCCGCCGCCGGCAGCCGCCCCCGCCGCCCCCGCCGCCCTGCGTGCCTTGAGCCCCATCTGTCTCGCCCCCGCCGGCCGCTTCGCCTTCTCCGCTGCTGCTCCGGGAAGAAGGGGCGCTCGGGGTGCGTGGATGAGGCGGCGGCGGCGGCTGCAAGCCCAGGAACTCCAATGCCATGATCCGCGCGCCGCTCCCCCCCCCCCCCCCCCCCAACAAACCAAAGGAGGGCCCCCCGGGGGGCAGGGGAGGCCAGGCAGCGGGAAGGGGTCACATCCCGCACAGGTCAGCCGCGGGACCCTGAGGGGCGCGAGCCGCGGACTGCGGGGAGCGGGCGAGGGCGCGTGAGGCTGGCGCGGAGGCGCTAGGGCGCGCGGCAGCGGGAGCCTGGCACCGGCGCTCCGGGGCGGCGGCGGCGGCGGCACCCGGGCCGGCGAGCCCGAGACAGCATCGCAGTTTATTTACAAGCCCGGTGCCAACCGCCCGCCAGCCCGCCAGCCCCCCGCGCCGCCGCCGCCTCCGCCCTCCTCCGCACTCCCCCCGCCGCGCCCCTCCCCGCCCGCTCCAGCCTCAGCCCCGCAGCAAACGCCTTGAGCCAGAGCGCCGCGGGCCGAGCGCACGCCGCCGCCGCCCCCCGCCTCCCTCGCCGGGGTGGGGCCCCATTGTCCCGCCCCGTCGCGGCGGGAGGCCTTCCCGGCGCCCCGCCTCCCCGCCCTCCGCCGCCCCCCACCTCGGAGCACCCAGCGGGCGGTCTGCGCTGAGGCCGCGGAGCCCGGCTACCCCTGTTCCCGTGGGCGTTAGGGCTTTCCCCGGGCTGTGCGCGGGGGCAAAGGGGAGAAGGCGCGGAGGGACTGAGGCAGGGGGTTCGTCTGTAGACCTTCAGCGCCGGCCTGACTGCTGCAGCTTTCTGTTCTCTGGTCACCTCCCAACCCTGCTTTTTGGCTTTGGAAGTAAAATCCAAGTTGCTGGGTTGGCTAAGGCCAAGCGCGCCCTGAGCCCACAGACTCTGGGTGGCTCCCTGTTCGCTTTCTGATTCATGGTGGACATTGCCGCCCTCACCTCCCTTGGCCCTTCGCCCTTGCCGGCTCTGGCAAGCAGAGGGTTGAAGAAATACAAAGAACTCGCGGAATTGGCTTGGCTTCTAACTTGGACTCTAGCAAGCCATTCCCTCTCTTGCCTGAGCCTGTTCATTCATTCAATTGCTAAACCCTAAGTGAGCTTCTATTGAGAGGGGCAGTGTCCTCCGACCTGAGCATAGCAGATCCCTGCACTCCTAAAGCTTGCATTCTGGAAAGATAGAAGATAATAACGGAAAACAAACATATATAGTGTAATTGCCAAGACTGGTGGATGCTTTGAGGAAGCAAAATAACGTGCTGTGCTTGAAGTAGGGAATTTTTTTACATTGGCTGATCCTGGAAGGTCTCCTTGTGGAGGCGACATTTTGGGGTAAGACCTAAGTGACAAGCTGGGGCAACTATGGAAACGTCAGGAAGAGCATTCCAAGCAGCAGAAGAGGAAGCTCAAAGATGAAGTGTGGCTTGAGTGCGTTAAGTGCAAAGGAAGGGGAGGTCACAGTTAGGCAGGGCCTAGATCACATTAAATCAATTGCAGAGGTCGGTGAGGGCCCCCTGTACTTTGAACCTAACATCTCCTTCTTCCATGGCCACCACCATTACAGAGATCCTGCTGCCCCCTGGTACCTGGAACCTCCTTCACTTCCCACTCTCTCCAGGCTTGTCTTGGGCAGAGGGAGGGGTTATGGACAAGGCCAAGTCAAGGATCCTAGGCTTATGGGAGCCCCCAGAAGGCCTTCAAAGGAATGCCAGGAGTTGGCCAAGGAGAGGGAGAGAGAGAAAGGGAGAAGACTGAAGGAGAGGGGAGGTGGGATGGGGGAGGGGAAAGGTATGGAGAGAAAGAAGGGAAAGGGCAAAAAGGGAGGGGGAGAGAAGGAAGAGTGATTGTGGGAATGAGGAGGAAGGAGGAGGATCTGTATGAAATGAATGCCAGAGGGGAGAACCTCAGAAATCTCAACCAATAAGGGTAGTTTTGAGAAAAGAGTTAAACCATACCCAGCCTGAAATCATTGGACAGTGTTGTGTAGGCAAAAAAGAACTAACCACTCAAAGCTACAGAAGAATTTGTCCAGAAAGTGACTCTAATATGGGACCTTTATATAGAATAAGAGCCTCAACCTGACTGAGAAAGATTATTCATCGGTCGGTGGGCTGCGGGATGCCCTTTGTGAAGACTTTATTAACTGCCTTCAGACCTGTGACTGCACCCACTGTAGGACCCCCACTAATGCTTATGAAGAGAGTGGTGCTCAGCCATGAGTTAGTTGGAGGCTGGTAAGTAACCACTCAGTGCAAACTCTGGAAAGAAGAAAACATGCAGAGAAAGGGACCGGCTTAGGTGAGAGAAGCTCCAAATGGAAGCTGCACAGCCCCCTCCCCCAGTCACGCTCCTGAACATCTGTTTTCCCTCTACTCCCAGCACACCAGCGTGAGTGGGTGAGCTTTTCATCGCAGTCCTATCCCAGCCACCTAGGGAACAATTCCATCCTTCATGTTTGAGCCCCTTTTCTAAAGTTGCCCTCAATCCCTTCCTATTTTGTTAGTTAACTTTATCACTGCCTAAAATGATCCTATCTGCATTTTGTTTACTACTATCTCACTAAGCAGGAGCAGAGACTCGGGGTTCTATCCCTGCAGCCTAGAAGGATGCCTGCTGTTTAGTAGGCTCTCAATACCTGTTCATGAATGAATGATGAATAAGTGAATTCAGAATGTAAAGCCGCAGAACAATGCTTGGCTCACAATGCAACACTGGCTGTATGTTTGTATATGAGATTTCGGGTTTTGTCTTCTACCACTGGGAAGGTCTTTATTCTTAGAAAGTCTTAGTACTCATTGCAACTCAAGTAACATGGTGACTAAAAAAAACATTTTGACAGAATTTAAAATAACAAGACTCACCAGATAAGCATCAAAGGAGATTAGTCGAGGACCCCATAGAAGACATCATTACTGTGCAATTAATCAAAAGTTCAGATTTTCAGAATAACAGTTGGGATCCTCCAGCATGTGAGGAGACTACTATTTTGATGAGAGCTACAGATGGTCAATTATTAATGTTTTAAGATCAAGTGCAGGGGCTAAGTTTGTGCCTCCCACAAAGTGTGAGGTAAAATCACTATCAAATTCATAACTCTGATCCAGTTAAATCCAATGATAGGGAAACTGCTATGTGGTTTGGAAATTGGTTTGCTTAATGATTTTATAATCCAATGCAGAGTGTTGGCTTGGAAACGTCATGAAAAACGGGATTCAGTCTTGGTGCCATTTGGGGGACTATGTAATCTCAACACTCCATAGCACAGATTCCAGCTAACTGAAGTCAAATGTCCTAGATTCCATTGAGAGGAATCTTCTTTGAGGCTTAAAATCCCTGAGAACCTCAGGTACCTAGTGGGAGTTGGTACCATGACAGAGTTCATTGACACAGTATCCATAAGGGCCAGACTGGGGCCATGGTACAAACAACAAATTCCGCTGCTGGTTTTCATCCCAGCTCTGCACAACCTCAGTGTGTGACCTTGAAAACCCAACCAACTCCTAGTCTTCAGATTTGCCACCTGATACCCCTCCCCTTGCCTTTGATTTGTTTCCCATTTCACTGGTCTTCATCTCACTGTACATTAGGACCGACGAACTCTTTCTCTCCTGCAGGTGGGGAGACTTCCTGGGAATGAGTAAGGAGAGAGAAGCCAAGAGACCTTCTCTGAGCCTCAGTTCCTCCCTCTGTACATCCTGCTTCCCCAGGGGTGTAAGCCCCCTGTGACGAGACGCACAGAAACGTGCTTGTGGAGAGATGATGCCCGAGTGACAATTTCTGTAATCGAAGGGGCAGGACAGAACCTCAGTTTCATGGGCACAAGTTAACGGGGTCCCTACCCACCCTCTCACACTGTTCCCTAAAACGCATTAAATGACTGTCTTGGACCATGTTTAAATCTGCTTTTAGTATGTGTTACACAAGAAGTTCCTCGTCGTTGGAGAGGAATTATGAAATACAAAGCAGCAAAAAGGCAGCAACAATAATTTGTCATCTGGGTACCCAGAAGCACTCTCTGTTAATAGTCTGGTGGCAACTATTGCTAAAGCTGTTGCAGCATGCCTGACCTGCAAACAGAGAAGACGGAGGAGGAGCGTCCAGTATGGCATTCCCCCAGTGCTTCAGCCAGCCACGTGGTGGCAGGTTGATTCCATTGGACCTTGCAGTCATGATTTGGGTGGGTGGGGATGTGTCTCTGGTAGAAGAGATGCATTTCCTGGATACAAAGTTGCCTTCCCTGCCATCATGCTTCTGCCAACATCACCATCCGTGGACTTACAAATACTTCTCTATCACAGGATTCCATGAAAATGCTTCTGACCAAATAACATAGCCCCAAAATGCTCGCTCTACACCTGGTTATAAATCTACCTCTGGGAGGAGCCAGTGAGACAGGTCTTCCTGTTTGGGGTCTTGTAACAATTCAAGCCAAAAGCACACAGATTTGGAAAGGAAGGGTCCCCTCTATACATTCTTTATCCTTGAAAGCTTAACTACAGCAAATCCTCAGAAGTGCTGCCCTCCTTCCATCCGCCATGCTTTTGCTTTGTTTTCCTTTTCCTGGACTTTACATCACTCTACTGTAGAGCATAAGGACTCTTGATCCCTTGCAGGTGACACACCTTCCCAGGAATGAATAAGAAGAAACAGGCAAAAGGACACCCTTTCACACATCACCCAAAGGATGAGGTCAGCCTAAGCTATGGAATTTAGACCCTGATTCAAATTCTAGTGCTGGCTCTGTGACTTTGAGTTTGGTGACCTTGGAAAAGTTACTGGACTGTTTCCTTATTGATAAAGTGGGGTAATGTTTCCCAACCTCCCTACCTCTGACTTGGTCTGAACACCATTCAGGGATCCATTTTGAGGTAGAGCTGTGCAGTGTGTGATACACTGCACACATTTACTACATTATTCCAAGGAGTCTGGACACATGACTGTGGACAGCAGCTCAAGTCAGGCGTGATGGGGCATGAATGAGCTCAGAGCAAAATGGCGCTCACCTTCACTCCAGATGGCAATAATTAAAGAACTTCTCTTCGATGGTTTTCAATTAGAAAAAGTGTTTCTTTTCCCTGCCTTGCATTTGCAATTCTTACGTTAACCTTTACATTTATTTTGGGTGTTTCTTGAATATCATTTTTTCTCTTTTTCTTTTGACTAATTATATAGGTATCCCCAGCTTTTCAAAAGTGTATGTGATGCCACCTCACTTTTACAAAGGACCTACACGAGGACCTGTTTTCACTAACAGAGAAGTCTGAAGAGAATTTTGCCTTTACAAAATAAAGGAGAAAGGAAGGCAGGCAGGCAGGCAGGCAGGCAGGCATTACCATTCAATGTTTGCTTAGCAGTGAACCATGATAGAGGCAGTAAACAGCCTGCGTGGGAAGAATGGCGCCCCCTGATCCTTCCCTGGGAAC